CAGGCAAGGCTGGCTTTTTACTGTAACCCAAACAGTTTTCAGCAAAGCCATTTCAGTTTTGTCAGTAGATCGACGTGAGTTTTCTAGCCCATCTAGCCCACGGCCATGTGTAAGCTGTCCTCAGCAGCAGGGAGGGGAGCTGCCTCCCCTGGGCTGGGCTCCTGCTGACGCTGTGCCTGGCCAGCAGCCCTGGTGTTAAGCTGGTTTTTTTCGGTGGGTTGGTTAATTAGAGCACATCCAAAAATACAAATCAGTAGTCACAGTAAGGTAATGAAAATGATCCTATAAATAGGTGTTTGTGGGGTCAGAGCCTCTCTTAATTATTAATTATACAAACCATATTAGTGGACACATACACTCACCTGGGTCATCCTCCAGCAAACACCACATACAGGTGACTCTCACAGATGCTGCTGCAGGAAAAATATCATTAAATATATAACAATGACCCATAGATGGGATAATGCAGCCCAAGAAAAGCTGCATGTGTTCTTTACCAACTACTCACACAGAAACTGGAGCATGCACATACTGCAAGGGGCGAAACATGCTGGCCCGTGCCCAGGAAAAAACACAGCTGCAGGCTCTGTTCAAGGCAGGAGGCTCCAGCAAAGACCCTTCAGCTTTTCCCTGAGCCCATTCCTTTGCAGAGATAAACCAACTGATCCTCGTTTGGATGACTCATGTGCTTAACTAATTGGCTAAATGGGGGCCAGACCTCTGGTTCCCTCCTGCCTACATAGTTTGCTGGGCTGGGACCAAACCCAGACAACCACAGCACATCCAGCTGGGCTTTGTCTCTTCCAGCTCCATGCAGATGTTTAATAGTCTGCTTGCTCATGCAAAGATGGTGCTTCCCCCCACCCTGATTTTGCCTTCAAAAGCTCAGCATGTCTATAGCCAGCCCAACATGATCGATAGCTCTTGGTCCCTGGCAGCGCTGTGGGTGATAGAGGCATGCAGCTGCCCTCTCCTGCAATGCCCCACATCCTCAGCTGTGGGTTCCCTCCTCCAGCCCAAGTTCTTCTACCTTGGTCTGAATTTCATAGGTACAGGCAGAGAGTGGAAAAACATTTCTTTCTAACTCCCATTTCACATTTGGCATTCGGTATATTTTGAGGTAGAGGGATGGGGGAAATTACTTTCAAGGCATCTTAATGTAATTTTCTTCCTGTTCCCAAATAGGTATAATATGAAAAATTAAAACAGCCCTCAACGTGGTATGGATGGCCCCAGCATATGGCTGAGCTGATCATCAGTCTACAAAACACATCATTACGTGCCACCATTTCATGTCATTGCTTATTGATTTGATTCCATCGTATTTCAGACAACTTTTATTGTCTGGGTACAAAACATCATATTAATAACTGGAAGCACATATGCAGATATCAAAAATGCCTCCTGCGACTAAACCCATTTTTAAAATGAATACGGAGAAATATTTTAAGAGAAGCCCTTTCCAGAAGCAATTGTTCTCAGGACAAGAAAGACCAGACAACTCTTTTCTGGTTCCAGTGTTATAAGTATATATGTATGTTGTAATTTCATATCCAGATTTCTTTTTTCTTCTTTTGGTATTTTTTTTTAACAGGAAAGATTGATAAGAAAAGGAGGAAGTCAATAGTTTTGAGAACAAGGTGTAGCTAAATATTGTATCTAAACACATGGCCTCGAATGTGCATTATCATACATTCAACTTCGCAAGGGAACATTTTGGAATATGAACTGAATAATGTGGATATTATAAAATGGCTGTCTTGGAATTAAATTTTAAGATATTGATGTGTCATAATAATAAAATAGAAAACACTTTTAATATCAACAGTGAGCTTCATCATCCTTTTTTTATTTTTTTTATCTTGTGGCTGGTTCTTTTTCCTACACAGAAACCTTGAAAACAAAAATATACACTGCAACAAACTGTAAACCATTAAAGGTTTGTACACAGCAACACCTTCTGAAGGAGTAAACCCTAAGCCCAGCATTATCTTTGTAGCCAAAGTTGGGCACATATTAAATAATTACCTTAATCTGCTCCTAAAAATCTGTTTGTGTTATGAAATGGAATAGAACCAAAAGACTTATGTGAACTTTGTCTTGGAAAAAAATACAAGGTATTTTATTTTAGCAGTTTTTGAGGGTATCTTTTAAAGATATCTCCAAAAATCTGTGTTTTGTGTTTTTATTTATTTTCCTGTGGTTTTTTTTCTTTTTTTCTTGTTTTTCTTTTTTTTTTTTCTTTTCCTTCTTTTTTGGCTTCTTGTCTGCCCATTGCTGCAGATTAATCCCTGCGTTTGCTTGCACGTTGCACTGCAAGATGGGAAAATCCTGCAGCACCATAAATTCTCAGCATGAACCTGCAGTAACAGATTTTGGATAAAGCAGGCTATTCACACCCTCACTTAACATGCTCCCCAGCAATGCTGCACCCAGAGGACCCAGCTTCCAGGAGTGCTATGAACCACTGGGCATCCAAGGCTCAGGGTATTTTGTCACACACATCCCCCAGGCAGCCTGACCCCAGGGGCCACATCGGGTGTCCCTGCCAGCGGCTCCGGGCTGGCCACCTTTTTCAGTCCTCTCCTCCAACATCCTTTACCCAGTAATTCCCAGTGCTGGAAGGAAATGCCAGGCAGAAGTTAACACAGCTTCCCTGGGCTTAAGGTGGGAATCTCCCCGAAGGAAGCCAATAGGAGTTTTCCCACCAGTTTGATTTTCCTCTGAGAAAGGCTTGCCTAGCTGGGAATGATGTCCCTGAACAAGGCTTAGCATGAACGGAAAATGGGGTCCCTAGCATAACTCCCTGCAAGGTTGTCTCTAAAACGCACTTTTGCACATTTCTCTATATTCAAATTCATTTTTCCATATAAAGTTTCACATACAAATATCTCCAGACCTCCCCCAGTCCAGGCGAGACCCCACTCCAAAATTTCATTCAAGAAATTATCCAACACAAGTTTAAGACCAAGCCCCTGAGCAATTCCTGCCACCCCCCACAAGCGCCCCAGAAGGGCTTTCATTAAAGCAGGTCCTAAACGCACTGCTGGGTAAAAGCCCGAGTCTGTTTAGAGGATCAGGGTTTAAAATACATCAAATTGCCTCTGGAGCTTCCAAACAGAAGTGGACCTGAGCAAAGTCAAATGGAAACGCTAACTCTATTTTAATTTTAAACAAATGGCAGAGGCTTCAGCATTAGTTGTGACATGCTGTCTCCTCTCGGGGAACTAATAGACAGGGAAGAGCAAGGCTTTCAATGATTTATTCAGTACCCTGGAGATTTTTTTTTTTCTTTTTCATTTCCACATAAATTACACAAGGACTTTATAAAATGAATACACATAAAACACCTTATAAGTGCATAACTTAAAAAATCCAAACAAACGAATGCCTTTAAAAATCTCACTGAAAATAGGTTTTCTGATTGCTTGTTTGTACTATTTGCTTAAATTGGCAGTGCTGTTTTAGATTATAACTAACTGAAAAATATATATACTGTATATCTATATATCTATATATTCCTGGCATTTGCTATAAGAAGTGCTTTGTTTAATTGTGTCTCATTCCCTCAGTACGATTAAAGAAACAACTAAGTTAAAAGACTGAGAGTGAAATCGATTTCTTGCCATCAGGAATTGCCTTCTAAAGAGAAACAGGTAAAATAAAACATTGGACAACATTTTGCAAATTATATGGAAATAATCCACGGAAAGAAACTGCATTATCCCCACAAACTGCCACCAAGGTCTTCTCGTTATTAAAATACACACTGATGGGCATGGAGTCCATGGCAGCCAGGGACAGTTTGGACTCTTCATACAATTGAGATATCATATTTACCATCCTCAGGAGTCTGTCAGATCCTTCTCTTATTCCCCCCTCGCAAGGAAAAATTATTGAAAAGGGGAGGAGAGACGGCAAGGTGAGATCCGACGGGTTCCCATCTGGCGCAAGCAGAAATTGCTGCTGTTTCCTCCATTTGTTGCATCCCCAAACCTCTCTGACACAGACGACCCGAGGAGGCTCACGGCAGAGGCATGCTTTCCAGGGAGCCTCCTCCTTTTGTTTTAAGCCGTCAGTCCGAAGTATACATATATATAGACACTTTATATATATATATATATATGTATGGATACATAAGGGTGACCCCAGGCTTTGGACCACTGCCAGCAGAATCCGAAGGAAGTTTTCTCTCCCCTGGCTGGGCAAACGCTGGCAGCACTTGTCTGTCAGGGCTGGGCTTTTTTGTCTGGCAGCACGTCAGCAAGTTCACAGTCAGCACCAGAGGCTTTCAAGAGAACAAAAGGGCCGTGAGGAGGCAAGACACCACCACTACTCCAGCAAACCCACGGGCAGCGAGAGTTTCTGGAGTGGTTTCACTTCCTTTTGGTCCTCGTGGGGCGTTTCCCTGGCTGGACATGTGGGATACACGTGTGGCTGGAGGACTGCAGGGTGCCAGCCTTCCCCAGGGACAAACAGGGATGCCACGTGTCCCACCAGGGACAGCCCTGCCAGCAA